GATTGGGTGAGGCCGCATCACGTGACGGCCCTCTTCGGGAAGAAGGGAGCGCCGGGAGCATCCTCGCGAGAGCCGAGGCTTCCATTCCTCCCATACCTCCCTTATTGATATTCCTGCAGAGGGCGGGGCTTCCTCTCGGCGGCCAGTCTCTGGCGGGGAGCAGATGCCCTGCGATTGGGGGTGGGTGGTGTCACGCTGAGAGCTCGATACTGTGATTGGCTGAGCGCGTGGGATCGGTCAGTGGGAGGAAGGAGGGCCAGGCTCCTACGTCATGACGAAACGCTTTACGTAGGGCGCCAGTGACAGCCTGAAACTGCGATTTAAGTGAACTGAAGTTCTTTTACACTACCTGGACTTAAGATGAATATAGCAACAGCAGTTAAAATTATAAATTACTTTATATGAACAATAAAAATAAATAAACTCTGAGCATCTCTTCAGAAGCATTTGAGATACAGTAAATATTTTCAGAGGGAATGAATTAAATGGTTGTTTCTGGTTTAATCCTCAGGATTTTGCACGTACTGTTTCCTCGCCTGCAACACTTTCTGCAGCTCTTTTCCTGGTCGATTTCTGCCTAACTTTCAGATCTTAGATTGAAACCCCAAAGAAACTTTTCCTCTCCTACTCCCAACCAGATGAAGTTTCTACAACACTGTTCTTTTTCTTGGAGCAATTACAGCTTATGCTTATTTATTAGCGTGTTTTCGGTTAATGAATTAGTTTCTGTTTCTGTCATTAGCAGGAATCATTTATCACTGTATCCTCAGGACCTATCAGTGACTAATATATTAGTAGGTACCCAATATATATTTGAGTGAACACAAAGCCTCATATAGAACAGAAACTTTCAGAGTCAGCCTGCGAGCCTCAGAACAGGTTTTCTTCAGCACCAATTTAATCTCTCAAGAAAACAGAAATGAGGAAAGAGGAGTTAAATTTGACCCAATTTTGGGATTCTATTTAACCTGTGGGTTGGATGATTAAATCAGTATAATTAGTTGGAAATAATATGGAAAACAGGAAATTTGAGGACATCACTTTTGGGCCTCAGTTTCCTCGTTTAAACCATTAGGATATTTTCCCTTCCTTCTCTGACATTCTGACATCTGAAATGACGTAGACCAGTGGATCAGCATTCAGGGTGCCCAACAGAATCACAGGAGAGGTTTTTCAAACTATTCATAATAGCCCCATTAGGATCTTGGGGGAAGGAAGTTAGGGCATGCATATTCTGAGGCAATCCTCTGATTTAGCCCAGCATCTTCTGTTGAAGCATTTGGAAACTTCCAGCAATCTTCTGCTTCAGAAAATCACTCAACTCTGTCAGAGATTTCAGCACTGAAGCTGTAAGCACTTTGGCAGAAGTCATTTTCTTGTTCCTCTTTTTGGATTCATTTACACATTTTGATTTACTATTAATTTCCAATTCATTCAATACAACAACAATTGATGGAAAAAAATCAATAAACATGCATCACTCCAAGAAGGCTTCCTGGAGGAGGTGACATTCCAAACAGCATCTTCTTTTATGCACAAAGGATAGGGGAAAGATTGGGAAAGAATGTGCAAGAGAGGAGCAATGTTAGCAAAGTCCATGAGCAAGGGGACTCATGGGTTATAAAAGAGGAAGAGAGTCGAAGTCAGAAAAGATGATAGGGCCAAATTATGCAAGTTTTGTAGGCCATTTTAGGAAATTGGGGGAGTATTCTAAGGCCAGTAGATGGTCTTTAAATATGGGACTGATGTGATCAGAATTGTGTTATAAAAGCTTATTTTTGGCTGTCTTGTAGGGGATGAATTGGAGGGGAGAACAGGTTGGCTGGCCGAATGGTCTGATCTGAGCAGAGAGGAGAGTTGGGAAGGTGGAAAGGAGGGTGAAATGATACCCTAATGTCTGACTTGGGCAACTGAATGGATGAACACAGGGCTGGGCCGGGTGGTAGTGGAAGGAATTAAACGCACAGAAGAACTGGGTATAGCTGAGATCAGCAAACATGTATCTTAAGATTTATAAACCCAGCCTCTGGAGTTCTACTTGCCTCTTGGCCTCCCCAACTTCTGCAAAAAGGTCTAGGCGCCTTTCCTAAGACGTTAGGGCCACCTCCGGGACTCCAGGGGTCGCTACAGCCGCTACGGCCCCTCTAGGCTCGCCCTGGTCCACTCACTCGCCGAGGTGTCCTTCGGGGCAGCGGGCTAAGTGCCCGTGCGCTTCCCGGCCGGCAGGGGGCGCGCGAGTGCAGACGGGGTCGGGAGCGCGCGGGCGCGGGGGCCGGCACCGGAAGTGTGCGGTTGCCA